TTTGCATGTAAAGGCCGGATTTGCTCACTAGCTAACTAGTGAGCAGTACAGCGGTCGAACTAGTTAACATGTTACACAGAATGCCAGCCAAGTGTGTATTTATTCAAATTCCACAAATTTACTAGTTTTAGGGGCATTTTTCTGCAGCTAGTTAACTAGTGACAGTGTTTTGTGTTCACTACTTAACATGTAAGGCTCAGTTTGCCCTCTATAAGCTAGTGAGAAAAAATTATAATGCAGATATGCTCACTAGTTAACTAGTGAGTGCTTCCTGTCCCATTACAAGTGAACTAGAAAGGCCAAATATGTCAACTAGTTAACTAGTGAAGGTAAATTTGTCACTAGTTAACTAGTAAGAACACATTTTTACATAACAAGTAAACTAGATTGCTCCAAAAACAGCAACTAGTGTGCGTCTTGTGCGCACTAGTTAACTAGTGAGCATATCTGCACCTCACTAGTTAACTAGTGAGCATATCTGCACCTCACTAGTTAACTAGTGAGCAAATCCGCACCTCACTAGTTAACTAGTGAGCAAATCCGCACCTCACTAGTTAACTAGTGAGCAAATCCGCACCTCACTAGTTAACTAGTGAGCAAATCCGCACTTCACTAGTTAACTAGTGAGCAAATCCGCGCCTCACTAGTTAGCTAGTAAGCAAATCCGCACTTCACTAGTTAACTAGTGAGCATATCTGTGCCTCACTAGTTAACTAGTGAGCAAATCCGCACCCTACTAGTTAACTAGTTGGCGTTTTGGGGCCCACTAGTTAACTAGTGAGCATATCTGCACTTTACAAGTTAACTAGTGATGCTTTTTTGCACCTTACTAGTTAACTAGTGGGTGCTTTAGGGCACACTAGTTAACTAGTGAGCAAATCTGCACCTCACTAGTTAACTAGTGAGCAAATCCACACATCACTAGTTAACTAGTGAGCATATCTGTGCCTCACTAGTTAACTAGTGAGCAAATCCGCACCCTACTAGTTAACTTGTTGACATTTTGGGGCCCACTAGTTAACTAGTGAGCATATCTGCACTTTACAAGTTAACTAGTGATGCTTTTTTGCACCTTACTAGTTAACTAGTGGGCGCTTTAGGGCGCACTAGTTAACTAGTGAGCAAATCTGCACCTCACTAGTTAACTAGTGAGCATATCCGCACCTTACTAGTTAACTTGTGGGCGATTTGGGGCCCACTAGTGAACTAGTGACACTTATTTTGCACCTCACTAGTTAACTAGTGGACATTTGTACCCTCTCTAGTTAACTAGTGAGCAGTTCTGCCTTCACAAGTTTACATGTAAGTGTCACACTGAAGCCACTACTAGTTCACTAGCTGAGGTTCCTCTGGCCAGCATGTTAACTTGTGTGCCGCATGCAAATGTTTGGGGTGGGATTTTACGAAATTCCGCACTGTGATTGGTTGTCATATTTTATTTTGACACAGGGAGCCAATAGAGAGTCTTAATTTGAGAAATTCTCCGCCTCCTAATTAGAATTCTGCGCAACTAGCTAGCTAGTGTGAATGTAGACTTGAACTAGTTTACTAGTATACATTTATGTCCTCACTAGTTAACTAGTTTGGACAATGGATGCATCAACTAGGTAACTAGTGAGCCTGCTGCCATCAACTAGCTAGCTAGTGAGCCATTAATGGTTCACTAGTTAACTAGTGGCACTGACCTACTCCAACTAGTTAACTAGTTAGGAGTTAAGCCTTCACTAGTTAACTAGTGTGCACATTTTGGCCATCAATAGTTAACTAGTGAGACACAAAAAACCTTCAACTAGCTGACTGGTATGCATTTTGGCCTTTACTAGTTAACTAGTGAGCCATTTATGTGACAACTAGTTAACTAGTGAAGCCAAAATGTGTTCACTAGTTAACTAGTGCACATTTATGTCTACCACAAGTTAACTAGTGTGCACATTTTGGCCATCACTAGTTAACTAGTGAGACACAAAAACCTTCAACTAGCTGACTGGTATGCATTTTGGTCTTTACTAGTTAACTAGTGAGCCATTTATGTGTCAACTAGTTAACTAGTGAAGCCAAAATATGTTCACTAGTTAACTAGTGCGTATTTATGTCTACCACAAGTTAACTAGTGTGCACATTTTGACCCTCACTAGTTAACTAGTGAGACAAATACCTTCAAGTAGCTGACTGCTATGCATTTCTGCTTTTACTAGTTAACTAGTGAGCAGTTTTTGTGTCAACTAGTTAACTACTGAAGCCTAAATGTGTTCACTAGTTTACTAGTGCGCATTTCTGCTGTCACTAGTTAACTAGTGGGCACATTTTCACCCTCGATATTTAACTAGTTGACACAAACATGTCTAACTAGTTAACTAGTGGACAGAAATGGCTTACATGTTCATGACAATTCTGGCTGATATCCTGATATCAGAATAAATGCTCATTTGGCTTGCCATAGGAGAAACACTTAACGCTCACGGGATATGTTCAGTGTCAGTGAAACTGTGAACAGGTGGGTCAAATGTAGACGAAACAGTTATCCGTTTGCTGCTAATCTAAAGCACACAGGAGTTAGCTGGAGAAACCTCATTACTGCTACTCCAACTGAGGGAATGAGCTGCAGCTACAACCAACAAGTTTGTTTTGGAACCAAAATAATAAAAAACTGTTGTCAGGGTTTCTGTAGAGGTGATGACCAAAATGCAGAAATAAATGAGGGTAGCCAGTTAACTCAAGACTTTCAGTAAATCCTGAGCTTTACAGGCATGAAACAAGATGAGGGACATACGATGTGAGAGCTGCCCAGGTAGAACCGGGAAGTGAAGGAAGAAGCAAGGGAACAGATGTTCTAATTACAGTAATTGGCAGGTGGCTAATAAACTGGAGGACTGAGAGAGGCAGGAAGAGAAACAATGGGAGAGTAGAACATGTTGAATAAAAACAGACAGAAGGGAAATAACTGAAAAGCTAAAGAACAGAAATACACGAACATAGGGGAGTAATACTAAAATACACAAACACAGCGGGAGAAAGCATGATCGTAGGGAGAACTGAACCGCTGTCATGTTTTGAGGAAGGGACCTAACCCAAGACATGCAGAAGCATCACACAGAACCAACAGGGAAGTCAAAGAAAACAAGTTTAATAATAAGGTAGAAGTGACGGTGTACTGATAACAAAAACAGTGTCTTAAAACTCACGTCTCAGCCATAAGTTCACTTGTGGGAGACAAAAGGAGACAGATCTTACGGTGGTGGGGGAAGTAAGAGAGAGGAGCACTGGACCTGAGGTGGATCGGGGAGTCGGCGAGGGTGGCAAGAGTCCAAGGGGTCCAGGTGGGTGGGTGGTGGGAGAGCTGGTCGGTCCAAGAGGGGAGGATGAGACGTGGTCTGAGGCAAAATCCATGTTGGTTATGGTCAAGGGAGGTTGGAGTGGTCGAACGCCTGGAGTGTTGCAAAAATAAGAGTCAAAACCAAATATTGATTCAAAAAAATCCTAAAGACTAGAGTTCTTCTAGAAACGAGTGGTGGCACAAGCTACCCAATCATCCGGCGAGTTGAAGGTGTCTCACTCCTCCCTTTATATGCAGTCTGGGTGATGGAATAGTGGGAAGGTTGCAGGTTCGATCCCGGCTCCCACCAGAGAATTCTGCTGTTGTGTCCTTGGGCAAGACACTTAACCCACCTTGCCTGCTGGCGGTGGTCGAAGAGACCGGTGGCGCCTGTGTTTTTCAGCCTCGCCTCTGTCAGTGCGCCCCAGGGCAGCTGTGGCTACATTGTAGCTCATCCCCACCAGCATGTGAATGGGCGAATGACTGATCTTGTTGTAAAGAACCTTGGGGGGTTTGTAGAACCCTAAGAAGGTGCTATGCAAATACAGGCCATTTACCATCAATAACTTCAAACTCGGAGATTTAACTTTTAATGAAAAGAATTACATGCTTACATGGCAAACTTTCATTTTTACATTTTATATTAAGAAAATGTTTATTCAGTATTCAGTCAGTGTTTCCTTGTTGTTTACCTTTGAATTTTACTATCTCCTCATTCTCTACTCTCCTTTGTGGTTCTATAATGAATGTCATTAGTACTGTGATGTCATAAATTCCTCACTGAAGGACAATAAAGGGAGTTTCTATTCTATTCTATTCTATTCTATTCTATTCTATTCTATTCTATTCTATTCTATTCTAGTCTATTCTAGTCTATTCTATTCTAGTTTTTTCATATTGGCAGTCCAACTCAAAATATTGTGCAATCTATTGAAAAAAGGCACAAATGACTCTCAGCTTAAACATTTATTTAAAGAGCAAGTCACCCCCTACAAGAAACTTACTTCACTCCCACTTCATGTTTGAAAAATGCAACAAATGCTGTTGCTTGGCAGACCGAGAGGGCGGAGCCGCTAACAAATACACACACACAGGCTCACAATGGCATTATGACATCGTAATATACCAGATGACATCATAGCATACCTCTTAGCCAATAGCGGTGGCAGATTTAAATTCAAATACAGTGCAGAATTTTTCCCTGACGACGGCGCAACACTGACAGTTTTAGGCAGAATATTTGAATTTTAACCAAGATGCACTGAACTGCCAAATTATTGCCTACACGTGTCTGTAGCATGATTAGACACTCCTTTATATAGTTTATCAGCAAAAAAATGTGATTTGGGGGTGACTTGCTCTTTAAATATCTGCAAAAGTGGCTTAAACATTGTCCTGATTTTGTTCACTATGGTAGATTAGCTGTGCTAGCACCATGGATAGGGATGACTCCATAGCTCTAGGTGAACATTTAGCTATTCCACTCAGTTTAATCAAAATCAGTCTTTGTGATATTTTAATCAGGAACAGATGGGTAGGACTTAAGCACGTGCAGCACCGAGGAGTCTCTGTCAGAATAACTTCCTTTCTCACTTTAAGATGATAAAACTGCAAAATTACAGCTCTAACAATTCAATTATCCCTCTTTGTTTCCTAGCTAACTTGTCATATTCTTGTCTCCTGGCAGATTGGGATTCCCCATGATGGTAATAACATGTTTGATTGCCATGTGCTACCTGCTGGCCACCCACATAGGACTGGGCTGGAACATGTGAGCCATGTCTGTCGGCAGATCCAGAGACTGTGGGTTCTTCATAAATGGGATATTTTACATCAGCCTTTGATCAGATTACAAATGGTACATGAAATGCTGCAGCCACATCTTCCTATAAAAGATGGAGAAGTGTCTCTGTGTAAAGTTTTACCACCAGGGACCTGATTTACCAGAGCTTTGACCAAAATCTTGACACTTACATTTGTCTTTGGTCTGGACAAAACTAACTTGATAACTGTGTACATGGTGCTATGGCTTCAGTGGGAACAAGCATCCATGCTGACACTGATTTTAAATAAAAACAACCCGCTGAAAGGGATTTTATAACATCTGATGTCTGCATTTCTCTGCTAAATTCCTGAGTAACAACAGGCAGCAGAGGAAGTAGAAGTGAGGTGCAGTTTCCTCAGCTGATTCAGACCTGTTAATCATATTTAATGTAGGACTAGTGATCATGTAAAACATTTAACAGACAACGTCCTTTTAACTAGTTAAGTTAGGACTGTTATGGGAATAATTGTACAACTCAACCTGAACATTATCTGTGTTTAATAAATTCACTTTTCAGAGATTACATGAACAACAAAGTGTGTCACGTCTCTGGATTCTCTCCTTTTGTTCATATCGATCAAATAACCACTGCCTGACCTTATTATTGACCAATGTTGGACCACTGACGCCGGTGACAGATATACAACCAGTAGGACACACACCTGTGAGACAAAACATCAAGTGTTTTTTAATATGACTTGGTCCAATTAAGCATGTGATGCTATTGGAAATGAAGTGTGACTTCTGTGCATATTTTGCCATTGCAGCTTATCCTGGGTCTTTATTACACTGGTTGTCCATCTCTTACAGGGCAGTGACAATGTAATTTGATGCAAAACACTGTAATGAATAAAAAAGGGTCAATTTTCACCATCGAAGTGTCACAGCATAACGCACGCCAGAACTGCAAAGTCAAGGTTACGCCTGCTGGAGGATTCTGATGCACAAATAAACCTTTTGCTCACTCATTGTTCTTCAACGCAGACACAAATAAACTGCCAAGTTCTCACCAGACGCAAAAGCCTTATCTCTGCTACAAGTCAGAACGCTGGATTCCTCACTCTGAATAAAAGTGAACATACAAGGCTTTTACAAATCATGTTATAAATAATCTTATGTGATGAATGAATAAGATGTTTAAATGAAATATTTGAATAACCTGTGCTTAAATCAATGAATTTGAAATGAAAATTGTTCTTACAGTGATCCATTTACATCACAAATCACTATGTGTTTGATTTAACAAGTTAGTCATTATCTACACTCATACACATCTTTGTAATATACAAATTAAGGCTAAGGTTCACCTCACATAACGTTTAAATATTCTTCATTCACAGAATTAAGAATCTTGTATTTGAAGGAAGGTGGGGCTTTCTGAGGAATGTTTTGGTAAAGCCTTCCAGGCATGGCACATTCTGATTTGCCAGAATGGCCGGAAATCAGAACACTGTAGTTTGTTAAACTACGACTCTGCTTCCTGGTCTGGACCCTGGGTAGTCATGGAGGACTAATAAAACTGGCCATGTTCCTAGAAAGAATATGTGCTCCATCCAAAGAGGGATGGATGCCGTCTCTCCGCATCAGACCAGGTTTTCCCCAAAAAGTTTTCCAATTATCAATGTAGCCCACGTTGTTTTCAGGACACCACCTAGACAACCAGCGGTTGAAGGACAGCATGCGGCTAAACATGTCGTCACTGGTCCGATCAGGCAGGGGGCCAGAGAAAATTACGGAGTCCGACATTGTTTTGGCAAACCTACACACCGAAGCAACATTAATTTTAGTGACCTCCGATTGGCGTAACGGGGTGTCGTTACCGCCAGCGTGAATAACAATCTTACTGTATTTGTCCAGTAATTGGAAGGTTGCAGGTTCGATCCCAGCTCCGGACAGAGAATTCTGCTGTTGTGTCCTTGGCCAAGACACTTGACCCACCTTGCCTGCTGGTGGTAGTCGGGGGGACTGGTTGCGCCTGTGCTCGGCAGCCTTCGTGTGTGAATGTGTGTGTGAATGGATGAGTGATACACTATAGTGTAAAGCTCTTTGGATTCCTTACTCTGCGAGGCGCTATACAAGTGCGGGTCATTTACGCTTATCCTTCGCCAGCAGTTTCAGGTAAGAGTTAATGTCGCCCGCTCTGGCCCCAGGTAAACATTTAACTATGGTTGCTGGAGTCTCTAATGTTTCTGACTATGGAGCTGCCAATGATCAGAGTCGGCTTGTCAGTGGGTGCGTCACTGAGCGGGGAAAATCTGTTAGAAACGTGGACGGGTTGGTGGTGGCCCATGGGCTGGGTTCTATGCTTCCTGCGTACCGTCACCCAGCCAGCCTGAGGTCTCGGCTGCTCAGGTTCTGTAACAACAGAAAATGTGTGTTTTAGCGTGCTTATGTGCTTCAATAACTCAGAGATTTCCTAGTACAGAGAAATTTAATCAATTTTAGCGAGCCACAAACACTGAACAGCTACACGACTGAAAACAGGAAATGATGCCGAAACGCCTTACCGCAGATACTGCCACCTGCAGGCTGCAGACACTCAAATCAGGCGGAGTACACCCTGGACAGAGAGCCAGTCCATCGCAGCTTTTATTAATAATCAACTCTCTAGTTTATAGCAGACAACAAATTCTTTTACACCCAGAATTCACAAATCATTTCAATTATTTCAAATACAAAGATTCTGATAAACATCTAACTTACATCACACCACCTACACATCACATTACATGTATATATATATATATATATATATATATATATATATATATATATATATATACATATATATATATACATATATATATATACATATATATATATATATATATACATATATATATTTACATATGTACATATATATATATATATATATATATATATACATATATATATTTACATATGTACATATATATATATATATATACATACATATATACATATATATTTATATACATATATACATGTATATATATATATATATGTATATATATATATATATACATGTATATATATACATGTATATATGTATATATATATACATACATGTTTTGTTCAGCACTTTGGTCGGCTCTCATGCCGTGTTTAAATGTGCTATATAAATAAAATTGGTATGGTATGGTATACATATATACATGTATATATATGTATGTATGTATGTATATATATATATATATATATATATATACACATGTATATATATATACACATGTATATATATATATATACACATGTATATATGTATGTATATATATATACATACATATATACATGTATATATGTATGTATATATATATATATATATATATGAATATACATATATACATATATATATGTATGTATGTATGTATGTATGTGAGCTCACCATGTGAGCACCTCTGTGCGTACCAACACTTGTATATGTAAGGTTTCTCTATAGGAGCGTCCAATCAAGGGTGTGAGGGGCCACAGATCCGCCCCCCAAAGAAGATGGAAGGAGCTCCAAGTCTCAGAGATTCAGGATCTTTTCAAAGGAAAATTTCATTCAGGCTTAGATGATGAACACAGTAAAGACGCTGCCAGAAATGGATAGCGTAGCTGTTGATGCAGTATTGACCAATTTTTTGTTTTTTGTCACATACATTTTTCAGATTAGCAAAAATATAGTCAGTATCAGACAAAGACAATCTGAGTAAAAACAAAATGGATTTAAAAAATATTTGCCTTGTTAAGGGAAAAACTTCCTATATAACTGGTTTTAACACACAATCATGTTAGTTGGCATATGACTCAATAAAATCATTTGAACACTGCATTTTGTCATAAAAAGGTTGTTTTGGTCTGATATAGAAACATGTTTTAAGGCACTACATGGTGATGCAGCTGATGAACCACAGCATGAAGGTCGCTGGTTCAAAACCCCACTGAGGCCCTTCTGTGTGGAGTTAGCATGCATTCCCCATGCATGTGTGGGTTTGCTCCAGGTACTCCAGCTTCTTCCCACAGACCAAAAACATGCATGTCAGGTTGATGGGCAACTCTAAATTGTCCCTAGGGCTGGGTGAGTTTGTGACTGGTTGTGTCTCCGTCCACATGTGGCCCTGTGATGGACTAGACCTGTCCAAGGTGTTTCCAACCTCACCTAATGCCAGTAACACCAACCTTGAGACATGAGATGAGAATATAAAACAATAATTAGGAGCTATTATGCTGGTAATAAACAAAAAATCACCCTTTTGGTAGAGCTGTGCACAAATGTGAACAATATACAGTACATGTAACAGTACATACAGTATTGCACAGTACTGTAACATACAGGTACAGTAAATCATTCTGGCACATCCAGACGTTTCTGTCTGTCTGGCCACATATTTTCATCTACATCACAACGGATGTCATCCCTCGCAATGCAGCGAGGAAAGTATCTCCTGGAGTGGAGAAGTATACAGAAGTATAGAAATGGTACACACTAGCTCCTGCTCAGTTCATATATGCTTGTCAATTGAGAATTCACCTCCTCATGAGTGACAGATGAAATTCAACTGTGATAAATTGTTCAATTTAGGAGACATTTCCAGAATAAAATGATAAAGAAAGGTATAGAATTTGCTTGACAGATGACTGATATTTGACATTTGATAATTAGTTCAACAATTTTGTGTGTAATGACTCAAGTAATGAAAGTAAGACTATTAGTTTTATTGAGAGTGACTATTCAGCATCTATAAGTATAATTCATTTTGACTGACATGACATAAGCAAATGGAAATGTCAAAAAACAGCAGAGAAATGTATGAAAGCAACTGATACATGTCCAAAATCATTTGCAGTTTGTTCAGAGAAAGGAGAAATTGCTACTATGATGTGCACAAATGACTAAATGTTGTGGAGGTTGAACTAATAGTTATGAGAATTTTAATTCTGATCTGAGAAACGCACCAAAGCGACTGAGAAAAACTGTAACAGTACATACAGTATTGCACAGTACTGTAACATACAGGTACAGTAAATCATTCTGGCACATCCAGACATTCCTGTCTGTCTGGCCACATATTTTCATGTACATCACAACGGATGTCGTCCCCTGCAATGCAGCGAGGAAAGTATCTCCTGGAGTGGCGAATCCATCCTCTGCAGGACTCTGCTGTGATGTTGTCACATGCTGCATCCATGGCTGCTAGCAGGGCCATTTGCTCATGTGGATGTTGGTCATACAGTACTGTAAACTTTCCACCTCCAGGCAGAGAAAAACTCCTCTATTGGATTACACCTCCTCATGAGTGACAGATGAAATTCACCTGTGATCAATTGTTCAATTTAGGAGACATTTCCAGAATAAAATGATAAAGAAAGGTATAGAATTTGCTTGACAGATGACTGATATTTGACATTTGATAATTAGTTCAACAATTTTGTGTGGAATGACTCAAGTAATGAAAGTAAGACTATTAGTTTTATTGAGAGTGACTATTCAGCATCCATAAATATAATTCATTTTGAGTGACATGACATAAGCAAATGGAAATGTCAAAAAACAGCAGAGAAATGTATGAAAAAA